CTCGCTCTGTCTAACTCGCTCTCTTCGCTCTCTCTCTCTCTACCCTAGATCGTTACCCTGGATACACCCACCCAGGTAGCTTAACCTGAACCCGAAAGAGGGTGGCTACACTTGGACATCTCACCTGCACAATGGCAGACAGGTGGTGACTAGGCATCGATTGGATTATTGCCTTGTAAGTGAACAGTTGGCTGAAGGAGTCACTTTGGTCAAGAACTTCTGCAACCCACTGTCAGACCACAAACCTGTAGTGGCGGACATCAGATTCCACAATGGAATGGACAGAGGCTGGGCCTTTTTCCGATTGAACAATAAAATTCTGGAAGAACTAGGTATCAATGAGTGGGTGAAAGACCACATGGAACGCTGGGAAGGAGCCAAACAGTACTTTGACTCCACTGCAGATTGGTTAGACAGTGGCCTGAGGATAACCTCTCGAGTCTTGGATGTTTTCTCAAGAGTGTTAGCCAATAACAAGAACATTTGTGAGGTGGAATGCAAGAGACGAGTTGTAGCGGACCTCTGGTTGGCCTGTGAGACCAGCCCCTTGGCCTGTTCTCACAGGCATGTGTTGTATTCGGGGTAGTCCAGTCCACGCCGGTACCTCTGTCGGTACCAGCCAGTCCAGTCCAGTCCAGTCAGTCCGCTGGGGTATACCCCAACCAGAGTCTGTACTTGAGATCATTCTACATTCGCATAGTTTGGAGTACGTGCGTTGGAGTCTTGCATGGGATCTGCGATGTGTCATCTTGCCCCACCTTCATCCTCCATCTCCATCTTTATCCTAGGAGGAGCACCACACTGGTGGGTCCGCCACAATGGTGTCAGAGCGGGATCGATCCTTGATACCGCCCACCCACCCTGGTGATCCCGATGTCCTATAGCGGACGGCGCTGTACTTTCCCCTTCGGGAAAGTACTGTAGAAGACCCGCCCGCCATTATTACGGGCGCTGCGGAGCTGCAGCAGGCGAAAAGGAAGCGGCATCTCGCAGGTGCAAAGACGGTCGGCTGCTATCATTGCGGGCGGAAGTACCAGCTGCAGACCGTATTGTTTGTCTGTGTGTGCCGAAGGGCCGAAACACTTTTCGTTTTCAAGATCCGTGCCAGTCCCACTCGCGGCCCCGTGGGATTTCGCCAACGGGAAAATTTTGTGTGAGGGCAATCACGCGATTTGCGGCGGGCAGGGTTTGAACCCAGGGCAGACAGTACGGGAGGGCTTGATAACCACTGTGCCAAGTGGCGCAGGAGGCCGGAACCAACGGAAGCAAACTGTCTCCCCCCCCCCATGTTTTGGCGGAGTCGAAGGCCAGGTGTCGGCAGGGGTAGGACGCGTTTGGAGTGCGATCGGGGTTGCGAGGAGCGAACCAACTAAACACCGCCCCC